ACACACACAGAGCTTAATGTAGTGTAAATGTGATCTCAGTAACGTCCTACAACTTTTTGAGTCAGAAAGTCTCCCTCTTTTCAGGCTTGAGGGGCAGGAGGCATTTCATTGCAGATTCAAAGATTATTAATATTTACCAATTTCAGATTGAGAGAATCCTATGCATAATTTTGTAGTTGTTTGGTTCATGGCGTAAAAGAGATGCAAATACATAATAATTTTGATTGTTCTACATGCAACTCATTACAATCTTATTTTTATGCACATTTTTCTAATTCAAAAAAAAATGACAGAAGGAAAAAGATTTTATATATTTAGCCATGTGGTTTGTGGATCTGAGTCACTCCCTCTTGATATTGCTAACAAATATGAGGTAGTACCTGCAAGGCACAATTGTAAAGGAGTGTCTGGACATTTAGTCACAAGACTACTGTTAACTCCAGAGGCACTGAATTTCTTCTTCCGGGTGAGTGCTCCACCGCCGCTATGCCCTGAGGCCCCGTCTCACCTCTTTTCACCCCGCTCTGCCCCCTTCCCAAGTGCACCCCTTCCTCATGCCACCTCTTCCTGCTCCTGCTCCGCCCTCTCCCCCAGCTCCTCCTGCACGCTGCCAAACAGCTGATTGGTGGGGCCTGCCGAGCAGCTGATAGGTGCAGTTGGCGCCTGTGGTTAACTCTGTCCCATGACCTGAAAAAGAGCTCTGAGTAAGCTTGAAAGCTTGTGTCTCACCAACAGAAATTGGCCCAGTAAAAGATGTCACCTCGCCCACCTTGTCTCTCTAATATCCTGGGACCAACAACTACAAGCAAGCCTGTTCCATGTCTGTTTTTTTAAAATGTCAATTTGTAAGCCTAGCCTTGAGAAGCTGATGGGATTTGTTACTTTTTTCCAAAAGCAATATTTGGGTTGGTCCCATTGTTTTTATAAATGTACACTAATGGTCTCACCCAAAGACCACTGGAATCAAAGAGTGTCCTTCCATTTTCTTCAGTGGGCTTTGGATCAGACCCCTAATAAATAGTTGGTTCATTGGTGCTCATTTGTGGGCTCGCAAACCCCTAGGAGTCGAGGTCACAGCCACAATGCCCTTTCCATATTGCTACAAGGGAGAGGGTCCCAGCTAGATGGGAAAGCGGTTTCATGGAAGAGGGGAGTATGGAAAAGGTTAAGAACCACTGAATTACCTGAACTCCAATCAGAGGCCAGATCACACTTGCAAATTTTGTTCTGGAGGAATATTTTACAGCTAGAACACCCATTTGCGCTGTAGTAAGTGCACATAGAAATGCAGGCTTGTAAGTTGGAAAACAAACAACCAGATAAAGCACTAAAGTTATAAACCCCATTATTTTGAAACAGATCATGAATAGATGATGAATGTTAGTGAGTTCTCTTTCTATAAAGAGTGCATTGTTTTCGTTACTAGTTTTGTCTCATCAGTATCAGTAGGTCTAAAACAGTGTTCCAAGTGCTTATGTAACCTATTTCCCCTTGTTTTTTCCTACCCCCCCCCCCCCAGACGTTCTTGTTAAACCCTGGATTTGTGCTGGAAATGGCCCACCTTGATTATCATACACACTGTAAGGAGAGTGGTCACTTTAGATAAGCTATTACCAGCAAGAGCGTCGGGTGGGGGGAGGTATTTTTTCATGCTTTGTGTGTATAAAAAGATCTTCTACACTTTCCACAGTATGCATCCGATGAAGTGAGCTGTAGCTCACGAAGCTTATGCTCAAATAAATTGGTTAGTCTCTAAGGTGCCACAAGTACTCCTTTTCTTTTTGCGGATACAGACTAACACGGCTGTTACTCTGAAACAAGTGCTTATGGTAATTATGACTTTCTTTTGGCTTGTTTGGTTACAATTCCACAGTGAGATGTAGAGAGGTTGTTCAGAAAAAAATCAGTGTGAAAAAAATCTCTGCTGCTTTTTTCTTTCCACACTATATGTTCTAGATAGAACTGAAGAAATCTATTGAAGTTTGTTTTTAATATGTTCTGTTTTGTTTTCAACCTCTGAGGCCTGATTATGATCTAAAACTGTCACATAATTGTCAACAGTGACATGAGTGGGTCGTTCAGGGCTGGCTAGAACCAGCCCATATCAGTGGAAGGATTTGATGAGACAGTGGAAACCGAATGGCTGGGACATTCACACCTAGAGACCAATGGTCAAGAGGAGGAGATTTTCCCCCACTCTCATCAGGGAACCAGAGCAAAGGCCAGAAGCTGGAGAACAAAGGGGAAAGGTGTCTGGTGTCTTTGTTAAGAGTTGAGCTCACAGAGTCACACACAGCTCTTACCTAGAGGTGACAGAGAGGTACAGCTAAGGTGGATTTCATAGCAGGTTGACTGGGTGGAGCCCGGGATGGACTGTCTGAACTTTTGCCTTTCTGTGCACTGCTAACCTAAGGACTTCCTGGTGCTGTATTCCAGAAGACTAATAAATCTTACTCTGTGTTGGAGAGGCTGCCTGATGTCACTGCAAATACTTGCTGAGGTGCACTGATCCCTGAAGAGAGTGAAAGTCTGTGACCAGGAGTCTGTCTCAGTTGGACTTGTGGAGGAAAACGGGAGTGCTGGAGATCCAAGGCTAAGTCTTAGAGGCATTGAACTACGGGACCTACCTTTGTGACTACAGTGTACGGCACATCCTAAGGCCAGCTCTGTGATAGCCTTGTAAAACCAGGCACGTTCCTCCTCAGCAACTTTCACTATTACAGGGATGGCATTGCATGTGCTGTGAATGTATACGCTGAATGGCATATTTAGTGAATTTTGTGGCTTTTATAAAAACAAGCTTATGCAAATGTCATTTTTCAAGACACTAAAATGAACACAGCTGTCATCGTTACCAGTAGCAAGAAAGGGGAATGAAAACAAACAAGTCTACATCATTTGGCTTTCTTGTTGCATACTTACCTACCTACCTAGAAAAGGCCCAGCGAGGGATCATAATATTAATATATGCTAGTTGCAAATGTAAGCCCAGGATCACTGTACTGGCCAAGCTGGGGTGGGGGAGCTGGGCATAGGCAAATTTGACATTAAATCCTGTTATGTATGTGTATGTGCAGTGTACATATTAATAGTATTTCACACATTTTTAGAGAAATATTTACATTTTATATAGACAGTACACAATTCCAAGGAAACCTTTACACTGCCCCACAAAATCATGTATAGTCTCACTGTAGGTACCACAGAAGCCGCTTATAAATGAAGTTGCTTTTGCCATAGTTCACGCAGCAGGCTGAGTGCCTTGTAATGGAGATTTCAGATCCTTGTGCTGCAGCTCAATAACTCTTCAAATATCCAGATACCATGGTCACAGTCACAAAGTGCGGGTGTGCGTGCCCGCACATATATGGTATGCCGCAGAAAAAATCTAAAGGGAGAAAGGGGATGAGATTCTAAATAATTAACAGACATTAGATTACAGATTACAAAGAAATACATTTTAAATGTGAACTATAAGGGCTTTTTGCCTACCACTAGACCAGGTGTAAGAGATATCTCTATTTCTACAGTTGGTGACATCACTGTTACCTAAAGTAGAGCTGAGAGCTGGGTTCCTTATACCGTTTTAGGTGTCAGCGGTGGAAACAACTGGAAGATGGGGAAATGCTAATCAATTAAACTTAAGCTATGGCAGCTAAACAGAAGAGGATATTACTTTAATATATTGTTCAGTTGGCAATTTCAGATCATGAACAGTTTCACATTTATTTTAATTTAGCCGCTTGACTATTCAACAAGCTATGTTATGTGCACTTTGGAACCACCCAGAGTGTGTACATCACGGACATGCTGCAGTCCTTTTTGCTGTTCTGCTTTATGGTGGCACTGGAATGATGAATGCCACTGCATTCCACAGCTGCTGGAGAATTCAGTAGTGAAGGGGTTAAAGCATTTACATTAATTTTTAGTAAGAGGAAGTTTTTAGTTTTGTAGCTTTGTTTATTCTCTTAACTTTCGCTCCAATTCATTATCCCAGACTAATAATTCTATTTATTTTTTTCAAGAAAACGTTTGTTTTTTATTTGAACAGGTAAGGGGATGGGGGACTAGTAATTTTATTTTTTAAGGTAAAGAATACATGAAGGTAAAAGGCACCCTCAGGTTGTTACCATGAATAGTCTGAATTTTGTGTTCTGTGCATTGTGTGGGGGTGTATACACGTTGATATTATGGTTTAAAAAAATCAGGAATGAAGAAAATTGATGCATGGTATACTTACCTAATTTTTCTTCCTTCAGTATTTTGTTATAAACAGGAATAAAGGGAGATGAGGAGGGGAAAAGCCTTTTCTTCTTAAATCACCATACCATAATCTTCCTGATTTTTTTCCCACTCAAGTGTACCCTGTGGCCTTCAATGATCAAATAGTTTCTGTTTATTATATTTTTCCAGGAGCTTGATTCATGTTGGCAGAGATTACTTGGACCTTATGAGCTCCTAAAGCACTGCTAACTGCTAACATTTCCTGTTAATTTTGTGTAGCAACCCCCGATGTTGTAGAGGGAGAAGAACAGGTTATTTACTACTTAGCAGTATGATGATCATATATTAATACTGTAGATAATCATTTTCTTTTTATGTAAATAGCAGATGAAATTTGAGAATGCATCTCATATATTGATATCTATGTACTCATAAAAAGAAAAGGAGTACTTGTGGCACCTTAGAGACTAACCAATTTATTTGAGCATGAGCTTTCGTGAGCTACAGCTCAGAGCTGTGGCTCACGAAAGCTCATGCTCAAATAAATTGGTTAGTCTCTAAGGTGCCACAAGTACTCCTTTTCTTTTTGCGAATACAGACTAACACGGTTGTTCCTCTGAAATATGTACTCATAAGTATCTTATACATTGCTCTATGTGTGTAGTAATTCAAATGTATAGTTCTTCTTGGAATGCAAACATTGTGTTAGAAAAACTCCATCATAACATTAATATAGATAATTGCTTTTTGTGTTTGTGTTTTTCCCTACTTTTTAGCTAGCTGTGAGGTGGTTGGAACACAACTGCCGCTATCAGTACATGGATGAACTTCTCCAGTATGTCCGCTTTGGCCTTATGGATGTGGATACACTACATACTGTAGCCCTTCCTCATCCTCTTGTCCAAGCTAGTGAAACTGCGACTGCACTTATTAATGAGGCCTTGACATATCACCAGAGCATCTATGCACAGCCAGTTTGGCAGACCAGACGGACGAAACCTCGCTTCCAGTCGGACACTCTTTACATTATCGGTGGGAAAAAACGTGAGATCTGTAAAGTAAAAGAACTCCGGTACTTCAATCCACTAGATCAGGAGAATGTTCACATCGCAGGGATTGCAAACTGGAGTGAACTGGCTCCCATGCCTGTCGGGAGAAGTCACCACTGTGTAGCTGTCATGGGAGATTTTCTGTTTGTAGCTGGTGGAGAGGTTGAGCATGCCACAGGCCGCACTAGTGCAGTAAGGACTGCCTGTCGGTATGACCCCCGTAGTGACTCTTGGGCTGAAATAGCTCCAATGAAGAACTGCAGGGAACATTTTGTACTGGGAGCTGTGGATGAGAACCTCTATGCGGTAGGGGGAAGAAATGAACTACGTCAAGTTTTGCCTACAGTCGAGCGGTATTGTCCTAAGAAGAACAAGTGGGCCTTTGTTCAGTCCTTTGACAGATCCCTTTCATGTCATGCAGGATCTGTGGTGGATGGACTTCTTTGGATATCAGGTAGAAAACGTTTCACACAATTTGAGGTACTAACAAAATACCAAATTATTGTCATGAATTAAACCCATAAGTTTACTTTGGCTTACGTGTCTGGAAAGGTCGGACTAAGCCTTTATTTTAGAACAGAGAAACTCAGACTGATGCTCCCAAGCTGCAAGTGGCTCTTTACTGTATCTCCTGTGGCTCTTTGCAACACATGATATTAAAACACTGTGTGACTGAATTATTAACCAATCAGGATGCTTTTACTATGTTGTTAACCAATTGTAGTTGATAAAATAATGATATTTGGTGAGTCATTTTGCTGTGAGAATAATATATATATACTATATAATATATTAAATGAAACAATTAATTCACACTACGGTGGCTCTTCTGGGTAATGTTGATTGCTAATTTGGCACCTGAACTACTGAAGTCTGAGTATCACTGTTTTACGTATCCATACTAAATTCTTCTAAAACCATAGGAGAATGAGGCCTGGTCTACACTGGGGGGGTGGGGGGGATCGACTTAAGATACGTCGACTTCAGCTACGTTATTCTCGTAGCTAAAGTTGTGTATCTTAGGTCGACTTACCTCGCATCCTCACGGCGTGGGGTTGACTGCCGCCGCTCCCCCATCGACTCTGCTTCTACCTCTTGCTGCGGTGGAGTACCGATCCGGTAGGTAGTGTAGACGTACGCTGAGAGAAGCAGCATAATATTCATACAGTACTTTTCTCTCTACTAAATATGTCCAGCTTCAATGTTGTGTACCGTATGTGGTACCTCCAATCATGATTCATAAATCGCAGTGAATCAAAATGATGATCTATTTGCTGACAGATACAAGATTAAAAATGCTGCATATTCACTTAAAAAAAAACAAAAAATAAACGCCTGCTCCTCCCCGCCACCCCCCCCGTATCCATGCTGTGGTCAAGTGTCAGTAAATGGGATAACCTGAGTAATTTTAGACCTGTCAGTCTGACCCTGATCCCAGGCAAGATAATATAGCTGCTGCTACAGGACTAGATTAATGAAGAGTCAAAAGAGATTAATATAATTAATTCCAATCAACATGGGTTTATGGAAAATATAACCTGTCCAACTTCTATGATATCTTTTTTTGATGAGTTACAAGTTTGGTTGATAAAGGTCGTAGTGTTGATGTAAAATATACTTAGTCTTCCATAAGGCATTTGAATTGGTATTACATAACATTTTGGTTAAAAAAAAATTAGAACAATATCAAAGTAATATGGCACACGTTAAATAGAAATCAGGAATCATCATCAAGTGGGTGTGTTGCCGGCAGAATCTCATAGGGACCTGTTCTTGGCCCTATGCTATTTAACATTTTTATCAATGACTTGGTAGAAAACATTAAATAATCATTGATTAAAATTTGCAAATGATGCAAAATTTGGGGGAGTGGTAAATAATGAAGAGAACAGGTCACTGAAACAGAGCAATGTGGATTGCTTGGTAAACTGGGCACAGGCAAACTATGTGTGTTTTAATACAAGCAAATGTATACATTTAGGAACAAAGAATATGGAACATATTTACAGGATGGGGGACACTATACTGGGGGGCTGTGACTGAAAAGGATTTGAGGATTGTGGTGTATAATCTATTGAACATGAGTTCCCAGTGCGATGCTGTGGCCAAGACAGCTAATACAATCTTTTTATGCATAAAAAGGGAAATCTTGCTTTGGAGTAGAGAGGTTATTTTATGTCTGTCTTTGGCACTGATGTGACCAGTGCTGGAATACTGTGTCCAGTTCAGATGCCCATAATTCAAGAAGGATGTTGAAAATTGGGGAGGGTTCAGAGAAGATCCGTGACTCTGCCTTGAGTGACAGACTCAAGGAACTCAACCTGTTTAGCTTAACAAAGAAAAGGTTAAGGGGCAAGTTGAATACAGTCTAAAACAGGAGTAGGCAACCTATGGCACGCGTGACGAAGGTGGCATGCGAGCTGATTTTCAGTGCTACTCACACTGCTCGGGTCCTGGCCACCAGTCCGGGGGGCTCCGCATTGTTATTAAATTTTAAATGAAGCTTCTTAATCATTTTAAAAACCTTATTTACTTTACATACAACAATAGTTCAGTTATCTATTATAGACTTAGAGAAAGAGGCCTTCTAAAAATGTTAAAATGTATTACTGGCATGCAAAACCTTAAATTAGAGTGAATAAATGAAGACTCGGCATACCACTTCTGAAAGGTTGCCGACCCCTGGTCGAAAAGTACCTACGTGGGGAACAAATATTTAATAATGGGCTCTTCAGTCTAGCAGAGAAAGGTCTAACATGATCTGATGGTTGGAAGTTGAAGCAAGCCAAATTCAGACTGGAGATAAAGTGAAAACTTTTAACAGTGAGAGCAATTACCCACTGGAATAATTTCCCAAAGGTCATGGTGAATTCTCCATCATTCACAATTTTAACATCAAGATTGGATGTTTTTTATGAAAGATCTGCTCTAGGAATTATTTTGGGGAAGTTCTATGACCTGTGTTATACAGGAGGTCAGACTAGATCACAATGGTCCCAGCTTGCCTTGGAATCTAAGAATCTCAATTTTATGACCCAAATTGATGAAAGTAAAGCACTTCCATTTTCAAACTAGCATACCCTTCTCAACTCAGTCCAATATATGTTATTTTATCCATGCACAGTGGTGTGAGTTAAGGACAGAGTATCATCAACCTTCATATTGATTTTGCTGACATTAGTTATTTTGAAAGTTTAAGGGTGTTTACCTTGCTTTTCTGAAAAAATATTGCTGTTTATTAAGAAATAGGTCATGGAAGGTTATAAAGTTTGTAATATTTTTCAGGGAAGTCCAGAATAAAGCTGGTCTAGTTTTCATGTAAGGCATCCGTTGATTGCCATCCTTTACCCTAGAAGTATATGTATTATAGGGTGCTCTGATATCCCTCTGGAGAGAAGGTGCTATGTGAATGCAACATGATGTTATGTATTTATGTCTCAATCCTGCAGTGTAACCCTCTTCGGCAAGTCAGTGAGGTCAACAGGACTCTGTGTGGGTGCAGCAGTCTGCCTACATGGATCATAATGCAGGATGGGGGCTTTTGACATTAAGAAAGAAAGAAAATATGGGAAGCAGTTATAGCAGGTGGCTAGTATATGTACATACATACTCATGAACATCATGTATAAAGGGGCTGGAGATAAGAGGCATCATAGGATGTCAGAGATCATGGAAGAACAGTGTGCAGTGCTTAATAGTGCAACATCTTACTGTTGTATACTAACTTAAGTTATGAACTACCCAACTTCTGATCTGCCAATGGTGATTTATGTCTGTTAAGCCCTGGTGCTGTTCCAGACATAGAATCAGTATAGGCAGGTACGACATGCTCCCTTTCTGCCCTTAGTTATTTCTTCCCACAGTTTACATTTCTGGTGGCTTCCAAAACTGGCCACACTAGGCCTAGTGGGAGAATATGTTTACCCAGGCTTGTGTAGAAAATAAGAGCTAGAGACAGACCCATTTAAAGGTTTACCTTACCCGTTGCATACGACAGTGAATAACCAAGTCAGAATTTAGCTGAACAGTGGAGCAGTTAAAAGCAATGTTTAAGCCATCAAGATATGCTAAGTAAAGGAAAATAGATAATTATGCTGAAGCATTTTGAAGACCGTCAGTGTGCCCAATAGACAGGATTAAATATGTACTTATATCTTTCAATGAAATCCTTATTTATTTAATGTATCAGTGTAGTAGAGTATTTAAATATATGTATAAAATACATTAATCAGACTATAGAATAGCCTTCCAAGAAATCTGGTGGATGCCCCATTGCTTGAGTCACTGAAAATTGGACTGAGTGACAGAGAAAATATATGGGATCGCATCATGCCATCTGTATTTGATATTGATATCAGTGGAGTTTCTGCTGCAAAATGGATGGTACAGTATAGTCACAGTAAGGAGCAAGGTACTGGCAGTAGGAAGAACTAGATAGGGCTTCTCTTTTATATCTAATTTCTATCTTTCTGAGAGAGTACTCTGTGTATTTTTGGTTTGCTAGATTATGACATCTTATGAATTACTAAAGCATATGATACAAATCCATTTAGTATTGGATTGATCTATGTTTTGGACAGGCAGGATAATAAGTGGGACATGTACATTGAAAATATTAGTATTTTTAAAGGTAGTGTATAGATACTATCCATAACTTTAGTCAGTTTTCTACTATTAATTAATCTCTTAGGGCCGGATAATAGTGCTCTCTGCATAGATGCAGAAGGAGTGGGAGGATAGTGCAGTAAACATATTTTGCTGTTCTAAAATATTAGTACTCGGTGTTTGAAAAATCCACTTTCCAATAGTCAATAATAAGCTTTCAGAGCAAGCGCAATCAGCTACAGGAGAATGGCCAAAAACTTCAAATGTAGGTGCCTAAAACTAGGTGATTAAATAAGTGGTCTGGTGTTCACAGATGCTGAGTAGCTGCATCTCCTGTTCACTTCTGTGGGAGTTGTGGGTGCTCAGCACCTGTGGCAATCAGGCCATTTCTATTTAGTTGCCTAGTTATCTAAATCCATACTTAACTTCAGGAACAAAGGCCCAGATCTCCAGGATATTTAGGTGCCTAACTCCCATGGGAGTCACCTTTATATATTTGGGCCTAAGTTTGAAAATTTGGCCAGCATAAGCTTTTCTTAAAAGAAAATTACATTAAAATAAACATTGATGACACTTATGTATCTAGACCCTATGATTGCCAATAGAATCTTTCAAACATGAACAGGGTGCAAACCATTGTAGTTCTGTTTACTTATCTTGCAGACAGGGCTCTTTGGTGTCTTTGTTGCTGCCCATTGTCTTTCCAAGTTGCAACTGATTGAAATCTGAGCAGAGACTCCTGGGGTTTCATTGCTACTGTTCAAAACCTTGGCCAATTTTTTTCTGCCGCTTTAGGGAAAAATATGAGCAGCAGCTAAGGTTGCCAATTTTCTAATCGCACAAAACCGA